TGGGGAGGTTGATGGCGTTCCGAATTACGACAATGGATGTCGTGCCAAACATTATTGTGATTTGACAACGAGGAAGCAGTGTTTTCATCGTATAAACCTAGATGAGGGGAATCCTGGGAGCATTACTAAGGGCAGATCCAGGAATGTTTGCCGGGGAGGGCAGGCCGAATTATTTTTTGTCTCATTTGTTCACAGGCGGAAACGATGATGAGACATTATATGACATACATTGTAAAAGTGGTATTGGTGCACTTTATACGTTTGCGCGTTTTGTTTTGTGTTTCTCATTTTCCCCATTTGTTAAAAAAAGCTTTTTGTCTCAGAGGAGGGGTGGGGGTTTCGACCAACCAACTCGGGTGCGCGCCTGATTACTGTGGCAAACCACAATGAACCTACTATAATTAGACACGAGCGACAGACAAGGCTAAATTATCTCGAAAAACAAACTTGAAAGAATGTCTTATTAATGAAAACTTCAGGAAAGCATTCATCCCGTCAAAAACAGTTGTAAAAACCTCAAAATAGTGACCATGGAAAAAAGTTCTCCTAAAAGTTACCAGTGAAGAAAAATCTCACAAAAAGAACTTTGAAAAAAATGTCGCAGAAATGATTTGTTTCAAAAGCAGAACCAATGTTTCTAGATATAAATTTCATGAGAACAAACTGAGGAATATATAGGTGTATATCAAACAAACGAACTTTGGGGGACAATATATGTCTTAAATAGGATGTGAAAAAGAAATAAAAAAAACGAATTTTGAAAAAAATGTACTTCATAAAAACGAACATGGAGAAAAATATACCTCATTTGTAAAAATATATACTTGATGTTACTCTAGGGCTTTCATACATTAGGAAGATGAATCCAAAAGTGTTTATAACTGATGTTGGGGCAGATGACCTCTGTTCTATGAAGAGCTGTGCCAGCGTCCTTCGTACACCGAAGGCTGTGTATAGCGGTTACCACAAAAATCGTATGTAGCCAGGAGCAAGTATTGTTTGGACGATCGATTTTACTTCGTAGGCCCTACTGGAGGCTTAATTGCTTTGTCATTGGGTTGACCTAGAAATGCTCTATACAGTTGGACGAGGGTCGAAGAGAGTATACAATGTCATGTACGTTAGTGTCCTTGGTGAGTCTGCATGGCGGAGTCATAGAGGTGTAAAACATCCAAATAAGATACACATGGATGACGTTCATATTAAATTAATACAGGGAACACCAGCATTGGAGGAGAACCTTGCTTTAATTGCTGGTAATGACAATTCCAAAAAATTCTTTTCAGTCAAAATAAAAACCAGGAAAATAAGAGTTAAATTGTGTTAACATTGAATATTTTTTGGGCATATTTTGGTTTTGTTTCATTGGGAAGACGATTGCGTTTCTGTGACGATCTACACCCCAATAAACGTTGTGTTTTGATAATCACCCAGGTCTTCTTCGTTAGGTGAGGCGTCTACCAAAAAGAGTGCCAAAACTTTACACGGACTAATCACGACTCATAATACAAATTTGGGCAGACTTCCCAAAACAACGTAGCGTGAAGAATAAGAGCGCCACTGTATAAAGTATTTGGTGGCTTGAATTTGAATATATGTCTTTAACAATAAATTCCCACCGCTGGGACATACGGTTGAAAAGTTAGCCACCTAGAGACAAAGTAGTGCTAGCACAGTATTTGTACAGCTGAAATAAGAACCTTAATTTTGAATATAAGTTTAACAATCAGTGTGTCCTTCGCTAGGACGTACAGTTGGAAAACAAGCCCCCTCGGGACAAGGGGGGGTACTAGCACAGTATTTTTACAGTTAAAATAAGGACCTGAATGAAATGTACTTAATAAAAACCCACTCCCATTACCAATTACTTTGGAATTATTCATATCAAAGACTGATTTTGTTGAGAGTGAGGTAGTGGCAGTCCGCTTCCTAAACAAATTGAACCACAGCTATAATGAAAATTATACCCCCATTATTAGCACCCAAGTCTACTTGTCAATGGTGGTGCTTGGGTGGCTGGCGGGTTGAAAAAACAATGTTGACTCTGTCGTTGGCTTAACCGAACTTTCCCATTGTTTAATATACTTAGAATTTCACCTTTGCGCGCCCCTTCTCCAATGAGAGTCAAGGGTGCCAGGCATTTGGACTTTATTCAAAAAGTTGTTACAAGCAGTGCAACCATGTCACGAAATCATCATCTAACGAGGTACCCCCATTGCATGGTTACTGAGTGTATTTTATTGTTCATGCAGTAAAATGAATTATTTTTAGACAACTCACATACTATACCACTTGGACAATGAACTTGTGACTTCTGCAATAGCTCAACATCTGCATTCATTAATACTGTTGCCCAACTCAACCCGTTATTGACTCATCATGGCCACTACATTTCCCTCTTGATTCCGGCGTGTTGTCAATTACTGATACAGAATTATAGTAAAATTAATTTGATCTCCAGGCAAGGGAAAATAAAGATGTACGATTCTGCTCAAAGCACTTCAAAACCCTGCGAGATTTAGCACACGAAATTTTACTCGAAAAACCCTACAAATACAAACAAATGCAGATGTTATAACATTTTCGAACACAGGCAAAGCTTGGCTCACACAACGTCAGGGTCACAACCAGGAATACTGTCGGCACATAGCCTGCCCTGTCTTTCTCGTTTTGCAAGGGTTTATGAACCGTAGTTTCAAAAAGTCTTCATTTTGTTACAGTCAGGGATATAAGTTGCTCACTCATGGCCAGGCTGGGACAGCTCCAGGACCCAAATCTCTTAAACTATCTCTTAACAAATTTTATATAAGTTCAAGATAAGTGAAGAGAAAGTATGTACTGTTCCAGTATTAATTGGGTAGACCCTCCCATTCCACGGTCTCTGTTAGCCATACCACCCGTTGCTTGCGGACCGCTGACATTCACTCGAGGCCAAGTTTTGCAGTCAAGCTACACGGTCAATCTACACGGGTGTGGCTCGTCATCTCTGTATCCTGGCCGCTTTACTCCTGCAAGACCTCGTCAAGGGTTTAGCCCTTCAAGTCAAACTGCCTTCAAGGCAAGTCAAACGGCCACGCCCCATCGGTGAATCTGCATAAGTGATGAAATTACGTACGACCGGAGGCCGTACTACATGTGCCGCGACCAGGACCGTCAGCTGATAATATGGCCTGCAAAGTTGACATTTAATCCCAAAATAGAGATATGTTTATTTTGAGACGTGCAAAGTTTACATTTAATCGTGAAATATTTTCGTTTCCGCCTACATTCATGGCATTTCAGAGTTCACAGGGCATCCGAAACAGTACGAAATATTCTTTGCTGCAGTATATGACGCACTGGGGCTGTCGTTTGGTGGTTCCGTACGTAACGGTTTGAAAAAAAGCTTGCCATAAAGAAACCTGCAACATTTGTTTTTCTGTTAGATCCGCCGATTTTACTGTATTCTGCGAGTAGAGGAAATCTACTTAATAACATTTTTTGCTAAATCTGCTGTTCCTTTTTCTTCAGTTGTCAAATTCAGCCGAAACTAGACTAAAATGGTCACCCAGGGGAGTTAGAGTGCTGGGAAGTTTGCCTTTTTGAGTACAGTTTACACGCACACTTGCATACGTGTTAATGTTAATTCTCTGGAGAGCTCTAAAAATTGCCCATGCACCAGTTCAGTCTTGCAGGAGACGTAGGGGGTCATTGTGCGACGCTGGCAAACAAAAAGTCGAACAATGCTGTGTACCTCGGAGAGATGGGTGGAGTACGGGGGGGACAAAGAGGAACTACATTTTTGTGCGGTGGGGTTGCTTGTGTCTCAATGGCAAATAAAATATCAAATGTTCGAGGGGGCAAACTTTTTGGGGTTAAACATTTTTTCATAACCTTAAACGGTCTTTCTGAGAGGTGAGGCTACATTTTGAGGCTTTTATTAACATGCTTTTCGAAAGGAGGGGTTATGAAATTGACGAAAATACTGCTTTTCTCTCATTTCTTTCCAAGACAAAATCTGACCTTTTGAAAATGCATGGCCCAGTTGCTCCCACATCCACCCTCACAGGCGTTAAAAACAACACATGTTGGTGTTGTCAGATGACCACACCAAAGTGTGTTACTTTCACACCGTTACTTTGTATACCTAAAAGTGTTAAAGTGCACTGGGGTGTTAAAGGTAACACCAACAGTTTTAAAATAACACCGAACATTTTAACACCGGTGGAAAGTGGTGTTATAGCGTGTCGAACGTACACCCGTTAACTTTCCTTCACGGAAAACTTTGCCGGTGACAGGGCGTCAACAAACTACAAATTTCCACAATATAATGACACATCTTCCTTTATTTTTTCCTGAAAAAACCTAACAACTAATAAAGTTGAAAAAAGTTAATCTTTCTTTACAATCCCAAATGAAATTGTGAAAGAGGAAAAATAAAAATGATGAAATTAGGCAAGAATTTAACAAACAATAAATTTTGAGTAATGACCAAACAAATGACAATGGAGATAAAATGGAACAGGTATTTTTCACTTGTTCACTTTCAAATGAAAATATGCCATTACCACTGAACGTTAAACTGAAACTATTATCGAGGCAAATTACAGCAAGGGTTGTAAAGAGAACACTTTTTGCGAACAATGATAGAATTAAGCCAAGTACCACAAGTAGACCTCATTGTAAAAATAACGTAGGTATGCTCTAAAATGAAATTAACCCAAAGGTGTATGTACTTTCATATTGAAATTGGCAGATTTTGGACTGTTAGGGTTAATGAAATATTAATTGAATAGTTTTCAGAGCAGTGTAGTAGCAAGGATTTTACTGGGGGCACAAAAGGGGCACCAGGATCTTATGGGGGGCACCAACTTTCAGTGGTGTGTTTTTGGGGGACAAGGCTTGTTCAATATCCATTCATCCGTTTTTGTTTTTTGTTTGTTTGGTTTTTTTTGGGGGGGGCACCTATGGGGCACTAGGAATTTCTTGGGGGGGCACGTTTCCACCAGCTCCCCCCCCCTTCCCGTGGCTACGCAAACGTTTCAGAACCAGTATTTTAACCAAGTATTTTTGAAAGTGCGGTTCCTGCTCTTACTGGAAGAGTCCACTGAAATCTTTCTGAGGTGTTTACAATCAAAAAACAGACTCCGTTACGAGGGCAAAATCCGTAATTAATATTAAAATGGGCTCCTCAAATGAAATGGTAATTTTGTGAGAGATATTAAAAATTCATGAACCCTAACAGACCCAAATCTTCCAATTTCAATGTGACCGTAAATACACCTAAGGGTTAATATCATTTCAGAGCATTAATTGCTAGGGTACAATTTCCTCTATTAGGATTACATACACAATTGACATATTCATAACTGTTTAATTGTAAACACCCCAGAAAGATTCAAGTGGATTCTTCTAGAGCAGGAACCACACTTTCAAAAACACTTGGTTAAAAAACAAATTCAAAATGATGCAGGCTCTGAAACGGTGGCATAGCCATGGGAGGGGGAGGGAAGCTGGTGGGAACGTGCCCCCAGTAATTCCCGGTGCCCCCCCCCTTGATGAATGGATATTGAACAAGCTAACGAAAACTTTGTGCCCCCGTAAGATGCTGGTGCCCCTTTTGCGCCCCCATTAGAATCCTAACTACGCCACCGATTTGAAAACCATTTAATTAATATGTCATTAACCCTAACAGTCCAAAATCTTCAAATTTCAATATGCCTGTACATACACCTTGGGGTTAATTTCATTTTAGAGCTTAAATTGCTTGAGTTCAAATTCCTCTATTAGGATTACGTGACAAATTGACATTTTCCAAGTTGACTAACTGTGGAAAAATTGTTATAACAATTTTTCAAACACCTCGGACAGATTTAAGCGGATTCTATTAGAGCAGGAACTACATTTTCAGAAACACTTGGTTTTAAAAAAAAAATCAAAATGATGCTTTATTTTTAAAATGAGGTCAATGGTCACTGACACATATCAAATGTCATCTTGACTCTTGATTCACAAAGTTTAATTTCCACATCAGTGAAAAGAGCATGCCCTTCCTATTATTTTGATACCACATTTGCATATATTCAATAAAAATGAAAGGATGGACTTTTAAGTGACAGCTGTCCATCTTTGTTGATCTCTGCCCTGACCACATGGAAGTGCGGATTCCGCTAAAAACTCGTAAGTATTTATTATTTATCAACGTCTACAAGCACAGCAATTTTTATCAAAATCTGAAGACCTAAGGTCAAAAAGTGTGTTGGTCTGACACGAAATAACCCAAATACGAAATTGCAAACAAAATTTTATTTTGTCTTGGAAACGTATGTTATATTGTACATTATGGAAAGTTCATCCGTGATAAGTGTGTGTGCTTTTAGCTTCAAACAGTTGCTGCGACGCTTATGGCGGCCCATGGTGCACGAGGGAAGCTACAACTACTCAGAAATGCGATAAAGGAAAAAAAATGGCAGGAGAACAGAACATTTTAATAATCTGCATGAACGTCTTCAAACCGTTAAATTTTAACTAAAACAGAAAGTTGACACTGTATAATTTTGAAAATGCTATAGTCCTGAGCTCCATGGATACGAAAATAACAAAATAAAACAACTCAACCGATGTGCACTGAAATTCCAAATTATGTTTATGCTCTCAACAGTCATAGGTCAAGGGCGCGATTAATATTTGCATGCCTGTTAAAGGGCGACTGAGAAATCAGTTTTGTGAGTATGTGTAGAATCCTTGTTTGACCGAAAATCAAGTAGAATGTGTTCAGACAGTATCATTCCTTTTTCAGAAACTGGAGGAATTCCTCGGTTAAGTCGCTGCTGTAAGTGCTAAAGATTCTCCGATATAATCGTTGGTATGAGAACTGCGCAGTTCCTTGCCGCAAAGCTCATGTGCTAATCAATTAAATCAAATATTTTGGGACAAGTTGCATTCCCGAGCGCGGCTGCTTTCTCAACAGCAGATACTCGACGCAAATCGAGATCAAACCATCCTAAGTTATAATATCTGCCAACATTCTTGTAATGCGCTTCGATCCGTCGGCTGCAGTCCGTGCGCCCATCACCCTTAGGCGAGCACCAGGTGGCGAGGTGGTTGAAAGAGACACCTCTCTCTGCCAGAAATTCGAACAGCTGAAAGTTTGTGATATGTTCAAACCGTTTACAGGCAGCAGGTGGCGTACCAACGTGCCTCTTAGCAATACAATATCCCTGCAGCAACGGATTCGGAGACTTCAAGAAGTGCCTCCCTGCGTGCACCGTGACTCGAACATCTGGAGTGGTCTCATTGGGTTTGATTTCGAAACCGGGTTGAACATGTTGGGAGTTGTAAGCTTCCAGGTTGTTGTTGACGTCCAGGTGCCAATCATAGCGATCATGCTCAAAGTAGAAAGCGTAGTTCAACAAAATGTTGACGGGACTGACCCTAGCCCTCTTTACCTTCAGTTTTCTAAAGGCGTTCTCAAAGTTGGATACCTGCAAAAGAAATCTGTGTGATTGAACTTTCACGATTTCCTTTATTTTTTTCTTTTCGTTGGAATATCCACGAGTTTCAACTGCCCGAGCTATAACATCCGGCCAATTGGTATGTCTATAGCCAGAGCGCAGGGAAGGCTTGCTACGCGCCACCTATTTCACAACCACAAGCCCCCTTTGTACGCCATGATTGTCGGCGCAATTTGTGGATGGTAATCTTCATCTTTAAAATGTTGTGTCCTGCAATCGAATATTCATGCCACAGTTGGTGCTGGGTATGATCTAAAACAACATCAAATTTAATGATTGGGCAATTGTTTTTTTTTTTTTAGTGTTCATGTGCAGTTATTGCTCTTAACGCTTTCGTCTGGACTTATTTTGGTAATAAAGTTTTTCATAAGATATTGTGGTTTTTTTAAAATCATTTTTACTACAGAATGTATATAAACAAGGTATTTCATTAGATCTCATAACCACTCCTAATGAAACAGCACATTTTGCTTTTGTGAACTTAACTGTCCTGTTGTGATCAACATGTTGTTGGCTAGTCTTAGCTAAACTCGTTCAAAGACTTATAAAAATGATGTTTTGAAGTGACAAATAAAATTACAATCATTGCATGGATATCCAAAAGTACATCAACATCTTTTAAAAAAGTCCGAACGGCAAAAGTAAATTCAAAGTTAAATATTTTTTCTTTGTATTTCATGGTCACTGCGATAAGTTTTAGTTAATTGCAAAGGAAACACCACAAATATTGCTACAATATTACTGGCCCCAATAACTGGCTAAGCTGCAGGCAGTAATCGGGAATTTTTGGAATGTTTGCTATTGTTCGTCTCACCGGGAGGTGATAATCATCGAGCACTTTGATGTGCCGGAGTTGTGTAAATCACTTCAGCTACACTGCCGAAGCAGCTATTGTTTTTGTTCTGTGATTCGCAATGGTAATGTATAGGACATTTCTCAAGAGACAGCAACATACAACCCTCAAAACATCTTTCTTTTTCTACAGTTCTAACAATAAGCAGTGTTACAGGCGGTCTGCATTGGTTTTTGGAACAAAATATTGGTGTTTAAAGGAGGAAACTTGTGTGACTGCGCAATACCCATTTATACACGTCAAGGCGCCTGGTGGGTCGATAGGTGTTACAAAGTCAAAACGTGACCCGCGTCAGAAGACCTAATTTTTCGGATTCTGGAACTTCTCCAAAGTACACAAGTTGGTGTTAACAGGATTAAGAGAGACCTGCTTTAGGTCATAAAAACAGATTGAAAAAATGAAATATCCAACGGAATAGTGACGTTATGATCAGTTAATTAAGAAAAAAAATCAAATTTTTGACAATAACCCGTTTTTTGGTGTTTTCGGTGAAAATGAAAATGCTTCTGCAAAGAAAAGTCTAAAAAAAGAAAGAACATTTTCAGGTTTTTGATCACAGTTGTTTTGAGAAAATGAGATTAGATATTTTAACATCACAAATGAGTACAATTCCAAATCAGTGGGGGAACTTCATGCCCCGTTTAAGTTGATAAGCCTTGCCAAATGTCTGGCACTATTTTATTATCATAGACAGCTGTTGCCTCTTTCACGTGAATAATTTCGTCCGGTATAATAAGCTGTGTGGCAAAATACACGGAAATGATATTTGGAAAATACGCTAAAAAGAAGCTACCCGTCTATCTTCAAGTCGGAAATTAAGTTAAGTCTTTTACTTACATTCATGTGACGGAGAATGTGTTCTCTGCATTTCCTTATTGTGTCTCTCCAGATGTAAACGGGAAAATATGTCATGAAATCCGCCACCAGATTCTTTCCCATAGCAAGTTTGGTTGTTTTGTCCCAGCCATGTCTACGGGGAATGCTCCAGTCAGTGAAAGTTACAACTCGCAACTGATGGCCATTGAAGATGTTTTCACTGGTGACAGGTGTTGTAAACATTCCATCCGTGTCAATCCAAGCGATGATGGATGCGTTGATGTACAGATCCATGAAAAAACTGCTCCATAGTTGGCGGCTGTATCCCCGATCTCTCTCTATTTCCAAGATCGAGATATCGTTCGGGAGAGGCTCGTAAATGAAATCAAACTTGACGCCAAACGCGTGCTCTTGCTGACTCAGTCGAGCTGCCAACTGATGATCGGCTGCCGATTCCTTGTCTAATATCACACTGATGTGACCCAGCTTTGATGACCAGAACAACACGGCAGATCGTAGAAAGTCACAGTATAGACGCCGGATTAGTTTGGGCGCGGCTGCCATGCGTATGGTGAGCGTCAGTGTGTGTTCTTTGGTGGCGAGCAGATACGAATTATTTGAGAAAAAAATCGGATGCTTTGGCAAGGACACTCTTTCAGTAGAACTATGATTACTTGAATAACAGGGAAGAATGGCTTCGTAAATTAACGTCGAAATCGTTAAGAAAACAAGGAAAACGTAAACAAACACTAGAGGTCTTGCCATGCTTAAAATCCTGATTTAGAGATTGACTTAGCTTACTATCAAAGGGAATTTTATGCAGATTGCCTACAACAGTTGAAATTTGATGAGCCCACATCGTACAGGGAACTGTCATGACACAGGTGGTTCCGTTCGGATTTCCTCGCTCCAAATTGTTCAAAAAACAGTATTTTGTAGGGTTGGTTTTTCTTCTACAATAGTATGTGACGTCAACCTCGTTGCCATGGTGCTGAGCTGTGCACCCACGCTTTACTAATGAAACCATAGCAATACAAATATGCATATTGTTCAGGTCGATATTAAAAGCCAAGCGGGAAACAAAACTCTGGTAGACCAACCTCATTCCCATGGGTACAACGTTGCCTCGCCATGTTGGTTCCCACTGTGCCTTGCGCGATCCAGGGCTAACGACACAACCAATGAAGTCCAGGTTGCCGTTTGACTGGTTTCTGTTATTTGCATCTGCAAATGTCCTCAGGATATTAAAATTTTGTAGGGAATGGGATGGAGTTTTTTTATACAACAGTCTGATTCAGACTTGAATAGAGGTTGTAATCATGTTCATACTTGGTGTCTCCTTTTTTAATCGCGTTTGAGGACTGGTAACATGTTGAATTGTGCTGCACAAATATGACACCGTTGATTAATCATTTATTCTAGAGCCATGGTGTGTTTATGTGTCAGTCTGTGTACGTGCGATTACTTAGTATCGCAATCAGGATCGGGTATTAGAATCCAACCATAAGCGTGCACTCTGGGCTAATGTGAAGAAAAAATGTATGTTTGCAAGCTTCAAGGAAATGAGTGGTCATTAGCTAATTGCTTTATAAAGGCAAGATGAGTTTGCCTTGCTTAGGCCTATAAACATGTGGCAAAATTGGCGATATGACCTCGGGTGCCAAAACACTTGATTAGAGAACATAAGATGAAAGTTAAAACACCGCATTGGGGGTCTAATGACCATGTGACAGTATTTGAGAGCTGATGAGGACCTGTGTGGTTAATAAAAAAACAAATTCGCTAACAATTTCATTTTTATTTGCTGTTTTATTTGTTTTATAGGGTAACCTTATCAGTTATATAACTTTTTCACAAAGGCCCTGTTTCACATGGACGTTAATTGAACTAAGACAAGTTAAAACAAGTGTCACGAACACAGCTAATACCTAAATAAAAAAACAAATAAACAAGTTAAACCAGAGGAACGTGGTTGTGAACTACCACTGAGCTGTTTCGGAACTTTCTGTTTGGTGATGAAGTCATCATGAGGTCATAACTTTAGTAATATTCTTTCATGAGGGTAACTTTGATGTTGATCAAACCTCTGATAATTGCCCAAATGGTGGCTTGAAAATGTGTACAAAGTCAAGGGCTGAAATAAATATTGAAAAATCAATACAAAATCACACGATGACGTCATCATGACGTCATTTACCTACAATAATTCTTGTATGAGGTTCTTTGTTGGCTGCCACTTTGATAACGATCAAACATCGCAAATGTCTCAAAACTGTGCCTTGAAAACGTGTACAGAGTCAATGAGCTGAAATAAATATTGATGTTATTACGGGCCTTTCTGTATCCGTATTATTATGCATGAAACAAATCATATAGGGAAACTGACAAGGTGCTAAGTTGGTGGCTCTTCCCAATTGGTATTCCAGAGACCGCAGGTTCAAGTCCCGCTCCAGTCAATTTCTTTGTTCATCTTCATAATTTATTATTATTCATGTGAAAAATATTTGTTTTTTTTTTGTAATGTAAGCAGAAGGTTGTCATTACTCTTCAACGAAATAATGACTCGGGTCCATATTGTGGTCAACCAATTTCACATTTATAATTATCCATTGAAGAGTTGGGATGGAAACAGGGAGTTAATTGCCGTGTCTCTCCTGCAGTCACTGCGATCATACACAAATTATTGATTGGACAGGCTTCACCAATGAAGCGTTAACACTGAAAAGGAATGTCATGATATATGTGCATGTAAAGAGCTCCTCGTTGCAATTTTATCCTTGAAAGCATGTTGTTAGTCGTGTGGTTTGTTCTTTGTTGAACTAAAAAGGGAAACGTTGTTGAGGGAAAAATGCCGTGAAATCTGTAATTTTACCGTTTGTTGTCGTTTTTGGGTGGTTTTAACTCAATAAATTTTCAAAATTCGGAAAAATTACGTGAAGACAGATTAATAAAAAACTGCACAACAGAAACAGATCCGGTATTTTTACTGGCGGAACATTTATTGGGGATATAACCAAATCTGTTTGAAAGTGCAGTACTTGTTAAAAAAATTTTCTTAGTGACATTCGGCAAATGTCTCTGAAGCTTCATCGTGGAATTTCAAACAATTAAACAAGGAGTAAATCCTGTTTTGAAAAAAAAAGACAAGCAATACTTGGCTTCACACCTGAAAGAGGTAACTGTTACAGGTCAACTGTACGGCACAACCAGCGGGTATTTGCCTTTACCGCCAAATTACAAATAAGCCTATTCACAAAATTGGCTTCTTGAGGTGTTGGTGAAGACCAAATCTTCTATAATATTAAATGCTCAAATCGAAAAGGAGATTTTCACGATTTGACTGCCAATAAGTACGAGACTTCTGGGCCAAGTAGAATTCATCTAAATTCGACATCCAGCGTTTTGATTCGTTACTGTATGTTCAAGGAAAAAATAAGTAGATAAATGAAATGAAATACCATGAAATAAAATATAATAAAATGTCACGACATGACTTGAAATGAAAAGAAACGTACTTTTTTTTGGTTCCTCGAGAATTTTCAGGAGTCCGTGCGCCTGAATGTTTGGTTAACACCGCATAACTTTTGGATTCTTCCCTCACCACGCCTTACTTAGCTATACTTAAGTCCTAACTGAAATATCCTAAATTAATATAGTTTTTTCGGAGCTTGTCTTCGAAAGAACAAACTCTGAGTCCAGGGGAGTGAGTATGGAGAATGAATCAGACCCGGCACGCTGCACGCACAATTAAACAATCAAGGGCTGCATTATGCGCATGTATGTTTCCTGCGCAGGCCAGTTTGCGCGCGAAAATGTCACATTTCCTTCGGGTCCACCACCATTGCTGCACGTAGAAAAAATAAGCTTACGGTTACTTGCTGGAAAGTCGTAATAAATCTGCTGTTCCTGAGCCTAGTGACGGCTAGTCGTTTCTTAGGATGCCGCAAANAGTTAGTTTGCGTGAACTAAACTGGTCACCTCACTAAGTCCTCCTGTCATAAGTTACTAATAATTAGCGCCCTCTTTCATTTTCGGCTTGAGAAGTGTAAAGGAAACCAATTTCGAGTTGTAAACAGATTACAGGTATCAGAGGTCCTTTATTTCGAAGTCATTATTGTCCGTGTTATCTCATAGCGTTGAGCCAGTCAGGTTGGGTGTTTTTCACAACAAAGACCAGGGACCATTGAACTTTCTTGGGGACGCTATATTTTCATCCGAGCCATCTCGTCTCTAGCCAATCAGGAACCCTCCGGTGCGTGCCGTCTCATCCACGCTCTGATGAGGAGGGTGCCCTCATCGCCGCCGAAGGGGCGTGACGTCACAATATTTGTGATGGGCAGTTAAAAAAGTCTGATCTCTTACTCCAAAGAAATCTACAGGCCCTTCATTTCATCATACACCCAGATAACAGAGAGACTGTAAATCCGATTGGCTCACAGACGCATAACAATACACAGGTTGTATGAAATTTTACACAACTACAATGTGCCATACGGATCTGCCAATAGTAAAGTAACTTTAGTACAAAACAGGTGTTGGGTAAGTTTGTTCAGAAAAATGTGGTAAAATTTTACTTCCAAAACAGGTACGTAACTTTACCTCATAACCCAGTAAAAGTGATCGGGTAAATTTTACTAGATTCTATGATTAAAGGGCACAGATATTCTGTTCAGAGCAACTTGGGGTTACCTGTTTTTCGGGTTTATATAATAATTGTTCCAAGTATTATGGTTAAGTTTTTAAGTTAAAAACTCAGTTTCTTATATACTTAGTAACTCAACACATGAACAATATTATAACGTTGAAGTGTATTAAACTGCAGATTTATTCTCAGTCAACTAATATCGCAATTCATAAGTTATAAAAAAATATTTCCAGAAAACTTCAAACAATTTTTTCCAAGATATACCGTTGGTTTGTAAAAACAGTACCACTCAAACCCTAAAGTATTGTATTACGCAAATGCAGCATCTATACCAGTTTTTCGGTTTTTAAGTTTATCATCGTTGGTTCCCTGCTACTAGCTATGTCAGGGTTTTTTAATTATTCCAATGTACTGGTTTAGCCTAGCAGTCCCTGTAATATAGGGGGAGTGAGTATGGTGAATGAATCAGACCGGCGCGCTGCACGCACAATTAACCAATCAAGGGTTGCATTATGCACATGAATGTTTCCTGCGCAGGCCAGTTTGCGCGCAAAAATATCACCTTTCCTTCGGGTGTACCACCATTGCCGCACGTAGAAAAAAGAGCTTACGGTTACTCGCTGGAAAGTCGTAATAAATCTGCTGTTCCTGAGCCTAGTGACGGCTAGTCGTTTCTTAGGATGCCGCGAGGGAGAGGGAAGAAGCGGAGAGCGCCAGAGGCCTCCAGGAGACCGTCAACGACGTAAATTTCCGTCATGTGTGGGGCTGGTAGCTCGGCAGCTCCGCGACACACTCGCGCTCAGGCGCGTGCAATTCAGACACTTCTCGGCCCTCAAGTTCTTGCGGACAGCAGCGGGGTTGCACAGCGCCCTCCTTCGGTGAGACAACAGCCGCCGGTCTCATGCTCTGGAAACGCTTGCGTTCAGCAACTGCAACCTTCGACTGGATCGACTTTGACGGCGAGTTTGACAGATACCGGCACAGTTGGACCTTCGAATCCGATGCCAGCATCCTCCACGGCGGGCGGTATCGCGAGCGCTAATACGGGCGGTCTTGACACTTCGCCCCCAGTTGTGTGTGTCCCCTCGACCGTGCCGGCGACGGCTACAGTCCCCGGCCCAGCCGCACCCGATGTCAGTTCGCTGCCATGCCAGCCGAGTGGCTTTGCAACCCAGGCAGCGGGGTCTACGGAACACAGGCAGAGGGCAGCAGAAGGTCGGGCAGCACAGCAGCAGGGTTTTCCAGCCATTCCGGCAGGGGGACTTAACCTCCGTGCACCGGGTGAGTCCACCA